CCTCCTCTTCCTCCAGGCCCTGGAAATCAAGCTCTTGCTCCTCGGGAATAGGTTCCTTGGGGCCCTTCTGTGTGAGAAAGGACAGAGTGGATCCCGTGGGAGAGCAGCTGGAGGATGGCTGCCCCCGACCCCAGCTGGTTCCTGAGAGGGTACCTTAAGAGGCAGGAAGGCCCCAGAGGCATCGAAAGTGCCCATCTCCTCGTCTTCATCATCCAGGCACCACTCAGGGAGCCCGTCCTTGTCATCTTCAAACCCATCAAGCCCCCGGCATCGCCGGAGGTGGGAGCTGCCTCCCCCAACCCGCCCGTCTTCTTCACCACACCCTCCTCGCTCCCCTCGCAAGTCGAAATCAAACTTGCGCCTCCGCTCCCCATGCTCCCGCCAGCCAGCAGAGCGGGGACCACCATCTGGAAGAGAAAGTTGGAGAAGGAAAACAAAACCAAACACAAAAATCAGTGGCCAGCCCAACGACGGCCTGCCCTCCTCAGCTCACCGGGCCTCCCCACCCAGCATGTCCTCCCTGGGACGTTCTCACTGCTCACATGCATGGCCACCGGCTTCCCCCGCACCAGCCCCTCCCTGGAGCCACAGACATCAGGAGGCAGGTCCTGCAGCCCGCCTCGACCCATCTCACCGGGGCTGGTAGAACGCCAGCGGTCACCGTCCCGCCGATCACCGTCCCGCCGGGGTCCTGCCCCGAGTCTCCAGCTCCCGTCCTCCTCCTGCTCCTCCCGCAGTGAGCGCCAGTTCTCGCTGTCGGAGCGTGCGTGCTCCTTCCTCGGGCCAGCCCCTCCCTCCTCAAACCCAGATCGCGCTGGCATGGGGGGGGACACAATGAGCACCCAAGAGCCTCAGGACAACTTCCTCCGGTCTCTCCCCCGTCCTCCACCCGGGAACCCCACCTCAGTTGCCCCCCTACCCGACTGGCCTCCACACTCGACACTCTCCTACCTCCATCCCTCCTCGCAGACTTCTCAAACCGCCTCTCACCTCTGTGGAAGAAAGATGCGGGTCGAAGTCTACACACCACCTCCTCTGCTCTAAGGCGGGCAGAGGGAACGGGGGACCCCCAGAACAACCAGAATGAAAAGGACAGGCAGGAACCAGAGGGCTCTGGCCAGGGCTGGCCTGTGCCTGGTCCCTCTGCCGTCACACCCCCACCAGCCCGGCCCCGGGCCCCCTCCTCTCTCTGCCCGCACCCCTCATTCCCACTCCACCTGTCATCCCAGCTCTGGCTTCGCTGGATCTCCCGGGGATTGCGTCCGAAGGCCCCATCGCCTTCCTCAATGCTTCTTTGGTAAAAGCAGCTGTCCCCACGGCCACGGCCTGAGGGAAGAGGGCTCACATCTGGGTCTGCGACCTTCCAGTGCCCCTCTACACCCTCAGCACCACCCATTCTGACTCTGCCCACCTCCTCCCCTAAAAACCACGGGGAGTCATCCTCTACCTCGGCTCCGTGTGCTGCCCCTGCCACGGGAGGTGGCGGCCAAAGGGGGCCCAGCCCCCTTCCCCATCAGCCTCAGCACAGCCACACTGTTCACTGACAGGGAGAAGTTTCTCTGAGGAGGGAGCCAGGGATGGGAGTGAGGACACATCGCTCAGTCCACCCCCAGCCTCTCAGGCCCAGCTCCCCCTTCCTCCACCCGAGGCCCATCTGCCTCAGCCTGGCTGGGCCCAGCCCCACCTGCTCCTCCTCGGTCAGAGGTTCCAGGGCCAGGGGTTGCAAGGGTTCCTCCTGTAACACTGCGGCGAACTCCTTGTCCTGCAGCTCCTCGGGGACCTGTGACGGGCAGGTCATTACACGCGGCCACCACACACCCAGGGCCGCTGGCCAACGAGGCACACGGGGGAGGGGACGATGCTCCACGCCAACCTCACCTTGTTCTCCTTGACGTAGAGGGCCAGCATCTCCTCTCGCCCATAGCGGTAATCCGCCAGCTTGTATTTGGGCATGGCAGGGGACGGAGGTGGCGAGGTCACACTGCCACCACTGGAAAGGGCCCTCAGCCTACACCGGGCACAGAAGGGAGAAGGGAGAGGGGTCCGCAGGGCCTCCCCACCGCCCCAGCTTCTTCCCAGGAGCCAGCGCTTGAGCAACCCACCACTCAGGCCCAAAGTTGAGGGTCTCCGCTGCCATCGTGGAGTTGAGACGCTTCTCAAAGGTCAGGACGAGCAGAGAAGGGAGGACCAGGCGCGCACCGTCCAAATACCTGCAGGGCCACAGACAGGGCCACCAGTAACCATCTGCAGGTTAGTCATGGGGCCAGGACCTGACTGGGCCCGTCACAGGCCTCCTCTACATGGTCGGTCATTTTGGCACGGAAGAACTCACCTACACCAGACACGAGACCACACACACCATGAGTTAACCAAAGTCAGTCAGGGTAGGGAGGGTCCTAGGGAGTGAGGGAACAAGGAAGCTTGAGCCCTTTCTGCCTCAGAGGGGCGCCCTCTGGTGGCCCAACACTCACCTGACAGTCCTGCCCTGGGAAGCAGGGCAGCAAGGACGGGCTCTCTTCTGGCAGGGCTGAGCTGGACCACAGGCCCCAAGCAGCCAGCTGTCCTCGATGGCCTCAGCAGTGCCAGGGAGAAACTTTCACATCTGGGGAAGATCCTTGGGGAGAAGAAAAGGAAGGGGGTGGTTACACCAGTGAGTCAGATGGCCTCCCAACCCCTGGCCCACATCTGCGGGGTACAGTGAACTCAGGACAGATGTACAGGCGTGGTCAGTGGTTCTCTCACGGGGTGGCTGTGGTCGCCAGCACAGCACGGAACAGTGAGGAGGGAAGGAAGGCAGGGATGGCCTTTCAGGACCGCAAACCAGGTAAGCCAGCCACCAGGACCAGGCATGGCGGGGCCCACGCTTGCGAGCCCAGCACTCTGGAGGCTGAGGCAGGAGGATTGCAGGTTTAAGGTCAGCCCGGGACACACTGAAGGACCATGTTGCCGAACCAGCAAATGGGCTGGGGATTTAGTTCAGCAGGCAGAGTGCTCATTCACCAGAGGCAGCCCTGGGTTCTGACCCCAGCACCACACAGACAAGGTGTGGTAGCACATGCCTGTGATCCCAAAAACTTGGGAGATGGAGTCAGGAGATTCAGCAATTTACGGTCATTCCTGGAGATATACAAGTTCAGGGTCAGCCTGGGCTAAACAAGGCCCTGTCTCAAAAAAATAAAACACAAAGGCACTGGGACCACTTGTGTCCTACAGAGAGAGGAATGGCCCATTTTGGAGAGCATCACAGTAAATCTTGCAACAAGATGACTTCTTTAAAGAAAAAAAAAAACTTGGAGCACCTGTCGGGAAATCAGACTCAAGGGGCTGGATTTAGTCAGAAACCAAACCAAAAAGGAGCAGACGGGCACTGCCAGGGCCAGGTAGGCATGCTTAGAGTAGGGGGTGTGGCCACAGCAGCCCAGGCTCATCTACAGAATGGGAATCAAGCCCTCAACTCCTTCCCTTACAGCAAGAACTGTCCCTCAGAACCAAGTTCAAGGTGGGAATGGTTCTCAGATGGTTGCTGGCAGAAGGTCCTCACCATACAGGAGAGGCAAGTTCAGTCTCTGAGGCTGAGGAGGCAGCAGGAGCAACAGCTGGGGAGGTTCCTCGAGGAGCCTGGGGAGGAGGCCGGGGAGGAGGCTCTCAGGAGGGGTTCATCCAGGAAGGGCCGAGTAGAGGAGGAGGCAGACAGTGTCCAGAGGGTGTGTGCGGCTTTCTATCACTGGCTGGACAGGAGGCTGGACCAGTGTGCCTCTGCAGGCCCCATCCGCTGCTGGATGCCAGGAGTCGAGAGGACGGAGGAAGAGGGTCTCCCCTGTAGCTAAACCGAGACACCATGACAGACAATGGGGTGACGCAGAATCCCAGCACCCTGGGATCTAGGGTGACTTCATGTGGCTGCCTGGAGACAAGAGCCTGGGCTGGCCCAGAGGCCTTGGGCTGCATAGTACTCTGGAGGCCTCCATAACCACAACTTTCTGAACCACCACCCTGAAGGGATCTGGGACTAGGCAGACCCTGAAGATGTGATGCTAAGTGTAACAAGTCAGGCACATAGCTCAGCTCTGGGCTTGGGATGTCGCTAAACTGGCAGAGTGCTTGCCTGGCACACATAGAGCCCTGGGTTTGATCTCAGCATCACATAAACCAGATGTGGTGGTACACACCTGTAATCCTAGCACTCAGGTGCTGGGTGCAGAAGGATCACAAGTTCAAGCTCCCCCATTCCCCGCCGCAAGGAAAACCAAACCAAAACACTACAGGGGCTGGAGATGCCACTGGTCAAGCACTTGCCTAGCACGCACAGGCCCTGTTGGTGACCTGTCGGTGACCTGTCTTCAACCACCAGAACTGGCAAAAAAGGGACTTGGGGCTGGAGAGATGGCTCCGTGGTTGACAGTGCTTGTGGCTCACCTAAAGGACCTGAGTTCAGTTCCCAGCACTGGGGGTGGGGGTGGGGGTGGGCGGGGGATAAAACCTCTGCATAGGATGTTTCTTACAGAGGAGCCAGGTACGTTAGGGGCAGGTCAAACACAAAGACCTGGAGTTGGGACAGAACCACCAGCAAATGCTGAACGGGTCCAGGGTTTCAGCTGGGCCCCGGGAGGAGTGTGGAGGTATTAGTGGTGACAGGTGACGGAGGCACATTGTGAATGTATCAACATCAACCCTGTAGAACTGCACACCTAAAGAATGATTAAAATGTTTAAAGAATCCTTTTGTCTCGACCTTCTGAGTGCTGGAATTAGATGCATTCACTACCATGCCTGGCTTACACCCATCATTTTATTTTTATTTCTTAATTATGTGTGTGTGGGGGAGGGGAATGATGATATGTGCCCTTGAATGCAGGTGTCCGGGGTCTAGAAGGTGTCGGATCCTCGGGAGCTAGAGTTACAGGTGGCTGTGAGGACACCTGCATGGGTGTTGGGAATCACACTCTACAAGGGTTGAATGTGCACTTAACTGCTGGGCCATCTCGCAGCCCCTACACCAACAATCATTTTAAGAAAGGGAGGCTGGTGGCATAGGACATGCTTAGCCCTCGGCATTTCTTTTTAAAAAAGCGTTTTAGGGCTGGAGAGGTGGCTCAGTGGTTAAGAGAATTGGCTGCTCTTCCAGAGGACCGGAGTTCAGTTCCCAGCACCCACATGGCAGCTCACAACTGCCTGTAACTCAAGTTCCAGTGGCTCTGTCACACAGGCATACATACCAATGCACATAAAATAAAAATAAATCATTAAAAAAAATAAAAAAACAAATAAAAAAGCATTTCGTAGGGTAGGGTAGATGGCTCAGTCAGAAAAGTGCTTGCTGTACAGACACAGGACCTGAGTTCAAGCCCCAACACTCACATAAAAGCCAAGCACTCCTGCCTATAACCCTAGCAGTACCCTAGGGAGGTAGAAAGAGGAGGATCTGAGACTCGCTGGCCATCCACTCCAGCCACATTGGTAACTCCAGGGTTAAGCAGATGACTGGAGAGACAGCTCAATGGGTAAAGTGCTTGCTGCACATGCTGAGGACCTGAGTTCAAATCCTAGGACCCATGTAAATAAAGACAGATGTATGGTGTTCCTACAGGGAGATGGGAGGCGGAGACAGGAGGACCCCTGGGAGACCATGGACCAGTCAACCTGAGGAATGATGCCTCCAGCAAGAGACCCTGTCTCCAACAAGGTGGCGGGGCCAACACCCGAGGTTCCCCGACCTCCATGTGTGTACACACTCACACATGCACATACACAAAGATTGAAAAAGCAGTAAGACAGACAGCAAGAGAGAAAGATTCTCAATATCAACGCGGGGTCTTCACGTATTCATTTGCACGTGCTCATACACCAAAGCTTTGGGGGAAAAGTCACGGTGGGGCCAAAGACTTTCCCCATTCCAAACAAACCACCTCCAAAGTGACGCTCCTGAACCTTCTCAGTCACTCCTGGTGGGGCAGGCATTGGTCTTGGCAGTGTGGAGGGACTGTGCACTAGGGGGGGTCAGGGGTATCCTACCCTCACCTCCTGCTCCTCCCACCCTTCATGGAGCTGCCCTGGTTGGAAAGAACAAGGAGAGCTGGGCTGGCAATGCAGCTCAGCCTGGTAAAGGTGCTTGCTGCCAAGCCTGTCGACCAGAGTTTGATCCCTTAGAACCTACGCAGCGGAAAGGGAGAAGCACCTCTTCCAGGTTATCCTCAGACCTCCACATGCATGCTATGGTGGGCAGCCCTGGGCTTCTTGCTCACACTGAAGGGACCAGGAAGCAGCAGGCAGCGCAATGTGTGCTCTCTGAGGGAGAGTCTAGTCCCCGAGGAATATGGACAATGACTGCAGACACTTCAGGCTGTCACAGCTGGGCAGAAGAGTGCTACTGACTTAGAGGAGACCAGGGATGCTGTGGGCCACCTTACAATCAACCCAACCTTACCGGACAACCCAACACAAAGTACACGCAGGCTGGGGATGCAGCTCAGCTGGTAGAATGCTTGCTTGTCTAGCATGCACAAGGCCTTGGGTTCAGTCCCCAGCAGCGCATCCACCAGGCAGATGGAGTGCAGGCCTGTCATTCAGCACGGATCTGGGCAGAGGCACTTGGCCTGAGATGCCACTAATGCAAGACTGAAACTCTCCTCTGCCCAGAGCCCAGGAGGAGACCCTGGAGCATTTCAAGAAACCTGTAGGCTCCCTTGTCACTCTGTTGCAGGGAAGGGCTTCCCTCATCACACTGTCCCATGAGAAAGTCAAAAGTCCTGCCAGGAGGCAAGTCCTGGGGAAAAGAATAGATTGAAAAAAACAACAGCATCCAGCTGGCAGAATGGTTCAGCTGATAAAAGGAGCTTGTGGCCAAGCCTGATGACCTGAATTTGATCCTCAGGACCCACATGGTGGAAGGAGAGAACCATCTCCTCCAAGCTGTCCCCTGACCCCACACACCAGGAGACACACAGTCACACAATTTAAAAATCAGAGGAAAAAAAAAAAACAAGTTTGCCCACCCCAGCTCCTCCAGGAAGTAACCGAGTCCCTTTCTAATAAAGAAAACAGGACATCAGGGTTGGGGAGCACATCTTTTCCCACCTCAACTTCTACTGGCTGCCTAGGTGAAGGGTCTTTTCCTCCCAGGCCACCTCTGCTTATCAAGCCCCCCCCCCCAAGCCTACTTCAGCTCCCCCAGCGTCTGTGGTCACTTGATATCAAGGAGTGACCCCTGCTGGAGCCCCGGCTGGGGCTGGCAGCTGGCGGCTTCCCTGGAGCACCTGGGCTGCTCATCCTGTGTGCAGAACTCCAAACACAAGCTGAACACAGTCAGAGATGATGCTTCCTCACTCGATCACCCCTAAACTTTGTCCCAGTGTAACTAGGTACCATCCTGTACCAGTGTTAACAGAGTCAAACCCCCAATGTCCCAAGCCTGCTGAAGACCACTTTCCCAGGATGGATGGATGGGTGGGTGGATGGAGGCACTGTGTGCATGTATTCTTCCTCCATGTGTAGTGGGAGGAGGAAGGGCTACAGGCCCCCACCAGCCCCAGGGCAGCAGCTACCCCCCCCCCACTCTACTCTGAGCCACAGTGACGAATAACCCCAGCGCTTGGCAATTGTGAACCGACTTCACAGTTTTCAAAGCATTTTCACGCTTTACCTCATTTGATCCCTCCTGCCAGCTCGCCTAGCCAGGGGACTCAGTACATAGAAAATGAAGTTACAGCTTCCCTGACAGGGCACCCCGACACCCTCACCCTCACCCGAGACCGACAGAGATGTGATAGGTGGCGGGGGCCATCTGAATGTTCAGGCCTCCTATGGGAGTGAGTCTGAAGCCGTTTCGAATTCCTTCTTCGACTTTGGGCTGATGATGCTTGGTGAGACAAGGTCTCATGCCGTACCCGAGGCTGGCATCACACTTAAAGCAGCCCTCCTGCTTCCTGAATGTCCCCAAGATTGGCACAGCCTTCCAAGTCAAGAGTTTTCTCAAGACTTTCATGTTTTGCATGTGTGTACGGTGTCTGTGCATGTATACAAATTCACGTGTGGATGCACACACGTGTGCGTGAATGTAGAGGCCTGAGGCTGACGCCTAGTGTCTTCAGTCGCTCTCCACTCGATTGAGGCAGGGTCTCTCGCTGAGGCAGAATTTGCTGTTCTGGTTCGTCTAGCCAGCCCTCTTCCAAGAGGGATTGTCTTCCTGGGATGGCTGGGATGACAGGCGAGCCTCCATGGCCACCTAGCATTTATGTGGCGCTGGAGACCCAACCTCTGGTCCTCACGCTTGCTCAAGCGCTTGAACCACGAGCATCCTTTCCTCAGACTTCTGCGTCACCCTCTCTCACCTAAAGCTGGGCTGTTTTCCTTTTCCTCTCTTTTTATTATTATTGTACGCTGAGGGGGAGGGGCACGCGGGCAGAGGACAACTCTGTGGAGTCTGTTCTCTACTCCCACCCTCAAGTGGGTTCTCCGTCAACAGGCTTGCAAACCAAGCGTCTTGACCAGCTGAGCCATCTCACCACTGGGCTATGTTTTCTATGCCAAATGCCAACAACAGACCACCAGGCTCGGGTTAACCTGGGGTCTCTTACTCACTATCCTGACAAGCCACTAATTTGCAATCACTAGCTGACAAAGTCAGTCAATAAAAGTGAACACACTGTAAAATGTTACCAGGATGCCCATGTGGGACACTCAAGGCCCCCCGAGCCCACCTAAGCCAACAGAGAGAAAGAATAAGCCAACTTGCACAAACCCTCCCTCAGAGTCGAGATACTGATGTACCAACCACCACCTATGAAATCCAAGTTGAGCTGGGATGGAGGGTGGCTGGCCTGCAAGGGGTAGTTGCATGGATAGCTGGATGGGTAGTTGCCAGAACAAACCAGACACTGGTCCCGGATGGGTTGAGGGCTTGATAAAGAGTGGCGTGCCAGCTTGGAGGGGCAACGGCTGTTGGGAAGGGGCTTTTCCGGAGGGGCAGCACTTTGAGAAGGGAGAAGGACCGGGGTGGGTGGAGGAAAGATCAGGCCATCAAGTATTTCTTGAGCATCTCCCTGGCCCAGCACTGCAAGCTGCCTGGGAGCTGTAGTAACTACTGGGTCTAAGAGGGGACACAGAAGGGTCTTTCAACTCGAAAAAACAAAATTTAAGAGAAAGAATTCTAGGCAAACCGTGAGGGGCAGTGACCTGCAGCTGTCCCATCTAGCGAGGACATACGGACCGGCAAGAGCCTGGTCTAGTGTCAGGGAAGCCCAGCAGCCCCAGCTCAGACAGACAGGTGTCTCACGCGCCCGGACAACCGAGGAGGGAAGCGGGACCTCGATGACCAAGCAGTTAGGTGACCGCTTAAAACGCAAGAAACCGGGGTGACGATCCGAGGGACGAGACGCTCGGGCAGAATAGATCGTCCATGCTGCCCAAAGTGCCAGAACGCTTGGACCAGCAGCCAGCCCCGCCAGGCCCCGGTTCGGCTACCAGAACCGTGCTTGGCACGGAGAAGGGGGGGGGAGAGGGGCCACCGCCAAAAGGGGAGGTCGGGGACGCGCGCACACACAGCACACCAGCCCAGAGGCCCGGCGCCGGGCGGGACATGTCGGGGAGCCCGGAGGGGGGGACCCCAGAGACGCGACCGTTACTTAAGGACCGAGCACGGGGAGGTGCGGGAAAGCGCGGGCCGGGGAGGACGGCGTGCCCTTCAGGGAGGGGCGCCAGGTGCGCGGGGCGCGCGCGGGGACGGCCACTCGTCCCCTCTCGCTGCCCGTCCTCCCGCCCGGGGCACCGAGGGGCAGCAGGGGCCGCCGTCTCCTCCTCCTCCCTCCTCCTCCTCCCCCATCACCGGAGCCCAGGAGCCCCGAGCCCAGGCCGCGGGGGCCGCTCCGGAGAGAGGGAGGGTCGGGTGGGAGGGAGGGAGGGAGGGAGGAGGGCTGGCAGCGCCGGGCAAGCGACCTGGACGAGGAGGAGGAGGAGGAGGAGGGGGAGGAGGGGGCCGCGCGCCGCGGCTCCGGCGGCTCCGGCGG